CCCACACGCACACACGCACGCTCACAGGCTCAAACATCCTCTATCCCTCATTTGATGTGCTGAAGTTTTCAGTTATTTCCAAGTCTTTTCCGTAGGATGTTCGATGTTCACTCACTTCATTAACTTGTTTTAATTACTTTCTTTTTTCTCTTTGGAAAAAGCTGGGCTGGTATTTTTTTTCTGTTGTATCAGAGAGAGCATTCATTATTTATTTATTTTTTATCTTTCTTTTTGGGGCAGGCTATTTCTATACTGGCATTTATTTTGTGATTCATTTGATAGCTATTTTCTACTCTGTTGGATGTTGCTCAATTCAGTTTCTAACTTTGAATTTTCATTAGAATAACAAGGCTGTTTTCTCTTGCATCAGACTTAAGAGGGAGCATTAATTCTGATTGGGTTGGGATTTTTTCTTTCTGAGTACAGGTATTTATTTTATGAATCGTTAGATAGCTTATTTCTATTTCTACTCAGCCCATAAATTCCTATCTGTTGGACACTTATTCACCTCCAGTTTTTAACTTTGATTTTTCAGTGAACATAGCCAGGCGGTTTTTATGTGGTATTGGAGTTAGGAGGGAGGATAAGTTGTGTTTTTTTTCTGGATACAGGAAGTTATTTTGTGTTTGGTTAGATAACTTATTTCTATTTCTACACTGCCCTTTTCATGATGCCAGGGTGAATTTTTTTCCAGAGGCTTCTGACGATTTTTATTCCTCAGGGAACAAATAGTTATCAAATTTGAGCTGAAGTTTTTACAAGAAACATGTTCCATATCGTAATGTTGTTAGTTATGTAATCCTGAAAGTTCGCTTCAAAAGGTTAATCTGTGCAAGTGCTGAATTTTGAAAATCTTTTGGGTTTCCAGCAAGCGTCTTCTTTTTGCGGGTCTTTTTATTTTTTTTTTTTTTTTTGATGTGCAGACTTTTTTCTGTGACCTGTATATGGGCGTATAATGACTTGCCTGTCTTCAATGCAAATAATTCAAGAGGTAATTCTTGTTTTCAGTGTCTTTCAATCATTGATTTTGGTAAAGGCTTTTGCAGATAGGCAAAACTTGAAAGTTTGGCTTTGTGGGGGTTGTCTGGTAGTGAAAGCATGGTCTGTGACTGTGTCTGACTATGGAGGTTAGGGTACAGGATACGCTTTTCTGGAAGTTGAGATTTCTTCAGACTGCTGTAAGGACTACTAGGGTAGTAGTTGATAATAATAATAAATAGATTATCTTTTTATTGATCCCAGAAGGACAATTTTGTTTACAATGTCAAACATACATACATAAATATAATTATAAATACATACATACATAAATACTTTCACTTGTACATACACAAATACACAATGTTACACCAATATAGAACAATTTCACAACTATGCCATTGCTGGTCGCCACTGTGCAGCGCCCTGTTTTTTTAGCTAGGGTTGTGGTGTTTTGCTCAAGGACACACCCTATTGACCACCCATCTGATCCCCGTGTCACCGACACTTGCTTGATAGTAAAGATTGTGAAGCAGATAGAGGTTGCTGTTGAGTGGGAGTGTCCATTTAGTTTTTAGTTTTAGTAAGGGTTTCATGGCACTCTCAACTGCAGGAATGTGCATTATTCTACTTGTTATTCATCTGTAGAATTCTGGAATTTTAGATATGGTGCAACAAGTGTATTTCTTGACCGGTCAGTTGAAACCTGATGTGTATGTGTGTCTGTCTGTGTGTCTGCAGGAAGCGCTACATCGGGAGAAGATGTTGGAGCAGAAGCTGCTCACACTGCAACAGTTGGTGCACAACACGCAGGAGGCCTCGGAGAGTGGATGGCAGGTAATGTGTGTGTTTGTGTGTGTATGTGTCTTTGTGTGTGTGTGTGTGTGTGTGTGTGTGTCTATGTGTGTGTATTTGGGAGAAGATGTTGGAGCAGAAGCTGCTCACACTGCAACAGTTGGTACACAACACGCAGGAGGCCTC